AATTAATTGCACCTACGGGGCTGTTTTTGGTAATTTCACAATATCGGATAATCCGCAATGGTCATCAACAAACAAATATATACTAACATGTCAAATATTTTTATAATCCTTTATAACGCTTTATCTTCACAATATCTTCGTAATTAACTGCCAGTATCAAGAGAGCATCGAATATGTGAAGCACCGAATAAACATGTTTTCGATATTTCGCGAATTTTTAACAGCCTTTCGCGTGTATTTTTATGATGGAAATTAATAATTTGCATCTCATATCTGGATGATCGACTGTTGCGCGAATATTATCGGTACTTTTGGGGTAACCGTTGCACAACGCGCTGGAGCCTCTTTAAGTGACGAACGAGCAAAAGTGATACGCTGTTAAAGCCGGGGAGATGCACGAATACACTAAGTACGGCGACCTATCACGAAAGCGATATTTTATTCTTTTTCTTTGGCGCGCGATAATTCGCCGGGCTCGATGGTATTAGAGCACTCAACTATGACATATCGACAGGTTGACTCGTGCCAATATCGTACTGGGGGAAACTTGTGAAAACTACGGGAGTGTCAGTAATCGTCGGAGAAATCTCGCGAAAAAAAGCACGCCTGCTGTATATTTTCAGCTTGCAAGATATCCATTAGCGCGCGCATATTCGCTCCCTCTCTCTCTCTTTTTCTCTCTCTTCCCCTGCCTCTCATTCTATCTCCAAACTTTTGAGATACACTCCGATCGATTTCTCTTCGAAAATTTTACGTTCAGCTGACGTGCTCGGCAACGTCATTTCCTGAGAGCCAAAGGCGCGATAAAAATTTCGCAGCGGCCGAGTCGTACTCCAAATTGACGATGGTAAGTAGTATCAAAAACTCTCTGTCACTGGCAACAATGTCGGCCGCAAAACTCGGTTAAGTCGCAGTTCTAGATGCAGTTCTCCCTTTTCTCTCTCTCTCTCTCTCTCTCTCTCTCTCTTCTTTCTTTTTTCCTCGCTTGCTCTATCTCCACCCTCTGAGAGAGAGAGAGAGAGAGAGACAGGGAAAGAACAACACACGCTAAGAAGCAGTTTAATCTTTTACGTCGCTACTTCAGCTCCTTTCGACGAGCAGACAGGGGAAAGTTGGGTAGCCGCTGCGTGAGAAAGTTCTCCCATTTTCACGCGCGGTGATAAACATGAAATCTCAAAGCTTGTAATTATACTTCTGCGACTCGGCGCTACTTGAAAACTGCTTTATTCCGCGTGACGTTCCGCCCCGTTACGACCGACCGCAACGCGAAATGCAAAATTTATGCTCGTCGCGCGCGCATGCAAGAGGGAGAGAGAGAGAGAGAGAGAGAGAGAGAGCGCCGTTATCGTTGATAATTATTTTTCCCGCCGTCGGAAATCCATTAAGAGGAGAGTTCGTGCGGTGTCTCGAAAAGGCCGAAAATTCTGTTTCCTTCATTCTGCTTTAACGCGACGCGATCTGCGACGGGCGGAACGCTTGGTGTGTATCGGGTGGGATTCCGGCGGCGAAAATAATTTCGCACGAAAGAGAAGAAAAAGCGCCGAGGCTCGCTCTCTCAAACGTTACGCGATTCTGGGATCTTTTTGTGCCATGCCACGATTTTACAGCGCGTCACGATCGTTTATGGTGAATTATGGTTTTTGACAGATTCAGGACGCGCGCGCTACACGAACGCCTCGAGAAATAGCTTCGATCACGTCTCCCACCTCTGGCGCAATTCGGGAGCTGGGAAATTGTACTTCTTCGAGGCGGGCCACTGGAAATCTACCGAATTAGTGGAAATTCTGACATTTTATTTCCGGCTTTTCTCGCCGACCGCGATATACTTCGGAATTTACTCCGCCGCGAGGCTCCCGTTAGTGTCGAATGCGCGTTCCTTCGGAAAATAATACCGGGAATTCGCGAACGAACGCGCGCGCAAAAGGCTTTGCGTTTCGAGCTTCTGTTCCTTTTGTAACTCGCGATTTCTTTCGGTTGGAAACGATATATCCCGGAATTTACTTCGCCGCAGAGCGTACGTTAGCGTCGAACGCGCGCGACTTATGGAAATAATATCGCGCGTCGACTTAACTTCGTGTCTCGGAGTCCTTTTTCTTCTTCTTCTTCCCCTCCTCCTTCTTCTTCACGGGCCGCAATTCCCTCCTCCAGCTAGTAATGCCATATTTCGAAATTTATTCTCGGCCACGAAGATTCCGTCGACGTCAAATGCGCATTACCCCGAGTCAAAGCGTGGTAACGGCGTAACATTTTAACTTTATCCCTTTTAGTTCTTTCTACCTTTCCTCTAAGCTCGAGATTTCCTTCGACTGTAACGATATATCCTGAAATTTACTCCACCGCGAAACTACCCCCGGCATTACTTAAATACGCGCTAAAAATAATATTCGAAATTCTCGTGGCTGGTTTAGTCTCGTTTCTTTACTTTTTGCACACGATGATTACGTCAAGATTACGTCTCCCTTCTTCCGCTGTGCCCAATGCATTTCAGAATTTACTTAACCGCGAAGATTTCGCTGTTATTCATTTATCCTTCGACCACTGCGCGTTACATGCGTTATTATAACGCGCTTATCTCCAGCGGTATCTTCAGATGAAAGAATTAATTATAAAACTAACGTACACGCGCCTCAAAGCGGTGTTCTGAAATGAAAGAGTTAATTACAAAATGTATCACGCGTGCTTTAGCAAGTTACATCGATATCATTTAATACGTGTTACGAAATATAAAATACTCGCGCATCCATTCGAATTACATTTATATCGCCAAGTGACGATTACGAATTCTACAGTCTGCGCGATTCTGGTGCGGAATTATGATTCCTTAATTAATTCCTCTATATCCACACTGCTACCGTGTTTAACGTTAAGTGCGCGATGGCCTAGTTTAATTTGCTCAACACAGAGGTCGCGCTTAATGTAAACATTTAATGGAAATCAAGCAACTGCACGTGGCGGTAGTAATGGTGTATATTGCGTGAATATAGAGATCGATGCACATATCGTGCGCTTAAATTTCTCTTGCGAGCGCGTAATCGGAAAACGACTGTCGAGGACAACACGGCAGTGAATCGATCAGATTCCACGATTCTCTCGCGAGTGTATAACCGGAAAATCCGCCGCGATGTGCGGGAGGAAGCTTTAAGGGTTACTTTCGCTTTTCCTTCGCACGTGAATGTCCTCGGATGTATCTGTTATGGCTGTTATTTCTATGTAAAGCAGGAATCCTTAACCTTTCGCGCGTCATAAACCCACTTGCTGATCTAATGAAACCTACAGACCCGTCTTAGTAAAAGATCTAGTCGTCGAAGATCAAAATCTCGATCGCAGATTTATATAATTAATTTTGTTGGATAATGAAGAAGTAATAGATTTTCCTATGTTGACGGAGAAATACTTGTACACAATAAGTCTTGGCAATTATTAGATAAAACAGGCAAAATATTATCATGGAAAACATTTAACGGCCGATGAACGCTATTTTCTCGAGAGTTGCAGTATAGAAGTCGAAAATCTTAACAATTATAATATCGTTATCATTGTTTTTATAGTGAATAATACAAATGAAATAACAGAATAAAATGTTTTCAAATTTTATTAGATTTTGTTAAATTAAGTTAAATTAAATTAAGTTTTGTGAGGTCTCGTTATTGATACGAAGGGCGGAAGCTTGGCGCTTTTTTATCTTCTTTTTAATGAAGGAAAGTTTTGTATCTAGGATATGCAAGAAACTTCGACCAAGATATTAAAGTACCCGCAGAAAAGGCAAATGATATTTTCATCTCATTAAAATCGTCAGAGATGAGGAAACTTAGACCGGTTCCGGCGGTCTTTTTCAGCAAAGGATACATCGTATTTTCAACAGTCCATCATTTCTCTGTCAATTAGTACGTAACTCATTACTAGGCGCGAAGGACCCAAAACGGGCAAGATTCTTTATAATCTAGTACGGGTTTCCTCATTAGCGAGTTAAGTAGCATAAGGCGATACATTTAAGATAAAAAAAAGACAAGCTGAAGACATCGCAATTTTGTTCCCATTCAAATTAGCGAGCTCGTGGACCTTCAAAATTAAGAATTACTTATTGATGGTGAAAACGCATTGCGGTCGTAGAAATTTGGAACCCCGACGACTGCACTTTTACGACTACTGCACTTTTACGACTATGGCAAATGTATTTGTCTTGCGTATCGCGAGCGTAAAAAAAGTTTCCCTCGCAGTTCATGTATACTCGTCGATAGGAGGTTTGCTCCTCCGAGAGCTTTAGTATGACGCATCCGACATTTCCGCTTTCATTTCTCGGGCGCCTTTGTCGTATCCCGTATTCTATCCCCCCGTTGAGAAGGAAGAAACACCACGGACCGACCGTTTTTCGAGAAGTAACTCCGTTCCATCGACCGATCGGATTCCTCCGTCCTCAATCGCGCTAACGAGAATACGCTGTTGCCGGTCGCAACGCTGACACTTAATCCACTTCCGACGCGTTCGCCAATCCCTCTCTCTCTCTCTCGGGAGAGTGCGTTTATACCTGCCGATAAAACGTCGATTCATTAACGCGATCCCCGCGTCTCCCACGAAGTGTGCCAGACTCGTCTTCCGGAGAGGTGGCCTTCCCGCGACCCTCCTCGACTTTCACGACCACGGCGGTCCAGGCGCTACGAACGCGATTCGCAGTCTCCGCTCGAACGAGGCAAATGGAACGGACGCACCGGAGGGCCTCTCCCGTAGGATCGATAGAGTAGTGGGGGGTTGCGAGCGGTCGAGGGAGCGAGGGCGGCGGCGGTGGTTGAAGCGGGATGAAACGAGGAGCCGAGGGTGGGAGATGAGGGCGCTCCGGCGGCTTCCGCGTCGCGTCATGGTTGCTACGAACGGCGTCGGCGTCGTCGTCGTCGCGGTGGCCGTCCTCGTCGCCGGCGTAAGCGGCCGCCAGACCGTGCACGCAGCGGCTGAACAAGCCAGCCTCCGGCGCTCGGTCCAGTTCGCCTTCCGCCGTCGCTCGGCAACGTACGTAGCCGCGTGCGTGTCATCGGTCGATTCCGCGTCACTGCGCCGCGTACTCGCAGTTCGTCGCACCGCGTTCACGCGACAGCCACGCGGGTGATGTTCGCGCGATAACCCCCTCCCCGTGAACCCGGTGTTCACGATCGGTGGGAGGATTACGAGACGCTCGTGACCGGAGACGTTGCATCGTCGACGAGCCGAGGAAAGAAAGGATCGCACACAGGCTTGTCCCGAGCCGGTGAAAAGTCGCCGAACTGTCCGTGGATCAGCTCGCCCCAGAAAGGTACGGGGACTTGTTCCTTGCGAGAGTGCGAGTGTGCCCGTAGATCCGTGCGAATTATCCGTTCCTCGATCAACGTCTTCTATCGTTTTAAACTTATTGTTCTTAACGAACCAACAGCTGCGAGGAAGTATACGGTCTCGCGTAAAGTGCGATGCAGTGCTTTTTAAATCCCTCAGACTGACGCGAAGTGTGTTTTATTCGCGTGTCCGATCAGTTTTGTGGATCTTCTACGCGACACGTTGCTTTCGCGGGAGGGGGAGAACACGCGTTCGGATTGTCGGCCGGGGATGCGGGATTGCGCGAGATTCACGGAGTTCCGCGTGCTTCTTTTTCGCCCGGCAGCGCCCGATATATTTCGTGGATTCTCCACTGGCTTTCTGGCCGATTGGCTCCGAGAGAGCTACGAGGCGTCCGTTTTCTCACAGTGGGAGCGTGTCGATCGATTAATCCCCCGAATCTACGCGATTCTTTCGCTATTCGGGTCACCGGACCTCTCTGATCACGTCCGATCTTTATCGTATTGCTACGTTGAGCTGGTCGAGAACACTCGCGTGACACTCGTCCCTCGGATAAGCGAGCGAGTTCCCCCACGCTGCGTCCGATTTGTCAGACGAATATCGCGAAGCCATGAAAAAGTGGTACACGAGAGAGCGCCGATCGGGACTGATCCCTCGCGATTATTCCGCCCACGTCTGCGAAGTTTCCGCGTCTGATCTGTATCGCGCTGTGTCCACTGGCGCAGAAAAATCGAAGTCTGCTCTCTCCCCGACAGTGTGAAAGTGCTAATCCCTCAGGATCGCGACGTAATCTCCCACTCTCGCGTCTAGGTCCGGAGTCTGATCAGTTCCGTCGTCTTCCTACTGGCTAAGAGCGCGACCGTTTCCGGCACGGAACGTGCGAGCGAAGTTGGTGTCGCGCGAAGAAGCGGACGGGATTCTAAAGGGAGATGTAGGAGGGAGGACGAAAGTTTTCGATTTACGATTGCAGCTTTGGCGCCGAACACAGAACTCGCTCATTGTAAATTCCTTTTGTTTCGTAGGATCGCGACGCCAGAAATAGTCCTTGCTCTCTCGAGGCGTACTCACAATTCCCAGCTCGTTTGTGTGTGTCCGTGTGTATATGTGTGTGTCGGCGCTCGTGTGCTGGCAGGTGCACGCGTTCTCAAAGATAAGATTCCGAGGCAGAGAGAGAGAGAGAGAGAGAGAGCGGACGAGAATTTTCTAAGATCGAACTTCATTCGAGTATGGAACGATTCACATCCGTTTCACATCCTTATTCGTACCCTTCTTGAGGAAACGTTTGTGCTCGCTCGCCCGTTGTCTTTCGCAGTGCGTATTGTGCGAGTTCCATTTTCACGGCGACCGCTACACCGAGAACGGGATTCGGCAACAACCACCATACATCTGGCGAAATAGCTTCGAACAGATGATTTGACCGTAATCAAATCGTTTAGTTGAAACTATTTCATCGAATGCGTGACAAATCTAACCGAATTCTTTTCTCCGTGTATACCGTGGGCCGTCGTGTGTGAAACTCCCTCCGACGAAGATTTTCGCGGACAGGCTCATTAATAAACACACGTTGCGCTCACGTCGAACAACTTCGGCGGAGTTTCTTTCGCACGGTCTCGAATCGAAGCATAATTACCGGCTTGTTCGACGCCGCATTTTTAGCGAGATAAGCGCCCAGCGGAGGTGCGAACCGGTAACAAAACCTCGCTCTCCGGCGAACTTCGATTGAAGCTCAGCCCGCCGCGCGGTCTTAATCCCGGGCTTAGTCGCCGAGATACGAGCAGCGTTGAAAATTCGGTAACTCTCGCCGAGGAAAAGTCACCGGGTTCACCCGAGGACACACGCTCGCGATTCGATGCGAATCTCGTGGCGCGTCTTAAGGCGAAAATTTCGACTCGGCGATATCTCCGTCCGGGGTGAATGCACTCGTCGCTGCTCGTCCCATATTTTTTTCATCGCTCGACGCTTTTGAAAAGCCGCGGATCGACGTGTCCTCGCGAGAAAGAACGAGAGAGAGGCTCTCTCGCATAAATAAGTCGCGGCAGGTATTCCGCGCGAGGCCATTATCATCCGTGAAGCTCGCGGCGGAGAACACGACGCCCCCGTTGGCCCCGATTTATTATCCTCGGCCACTCCGTCGGCGGCCGACGACGTCGGACAATGCCGAAAGTTCGTGAAAACCGCTCTCGCTGGTCTCCATTTCTTTTCACGCGCGCGTGCGAGCGAGTCACCGGTTCGCCGCTGGACCGCTTTGCATTCCAATGAATATTAATCGAATGCAATTATTAAACGCAAATTGGAACTCAAACGGTTTCGTCGTCCCTTTTCTCATCGTGCCTCCCCGTGATATGCCGATGGAACTGTCGGAACACGCTCCAGCGCGTCCTCCTTCCTCCGCGCTAACCCGCGGATCTGCGATGTCACGACAGGATTTCCGCTCGGTGTTGCTTCATTTTTATCGGCTGTCTTATTAGAGACAGACTACGATCGGTGCGAAAAGTTCCCGACGTCTCGCGAACGAGTGAAAGGTTGATTCCGATCGGACGGTGGTATCGACCTCCCCCCGCGTCGTGATTGAAGAGGGTCGTTTGTTCCGTCGTGCAGGTTAGTCTCGGAAGACAATGGTCCAGGGATAGCATCCGGGGTCGCGACCGGGGAGTCCGCTACTTGCGCGTTCCCGATCAGGATCGTAAATAGTCCCATAATGGCTCCCTTGATTTGAAAAGTCGCCAGCACCTCGGGACTAGTTTTCCGGAGCCGGGTGGCTTCCCGGTACCGTCCGGATTTTTCAGATAGGACCTCCGAGTCTCTGCAGTTTCGAAGAGAAGCCACTGCTTTTTCTCTCTTCGTTCGTTTCCTCTTTCAGCGAAACGTGAAAGCGCCGCCCGTGAACTCTCGGGAGACAGAGTGAGCGGGACTTTTTCAGGTTGCCGGCTAATTATTTCTGAGGGTTATCCGCGAGAATACGATAAAAGAAACGAGAGAAGCGCCAAAGGAAACGCGCGTGCCCTTTTATTATTATCGGGTCGTTTGAAATTAAAGCCGGGAAGGAACGTTCCTCCCGGCGAGCGCGTCGGGAATATTTCGGGCGAATGGCTGGCTTAATTAATTTCTCAATCATCACGTCCCGTCGATGATCGATTAAAATGCATTAGCAAAGCAAATTTTGTTGAACCGCGCGGCTTATTTGCCACGCGATCAACAAGTGAGGCTCGCAATAATTTATGCTTCATGCTTCGATTTTCTGGACTCGCGGGCGGATATAAGGAGGACGCCGGATAAATATTTTCCGCAGCTTGTGCATTATCTATCACGCGCTCACTGAAAGCGGCTAAAATAGCCGGACTTCAAGCCGATTCCCACCAACAGTTATCGATAGTTTGCAAATACATTTTCAAATTCCTCGTGAATATATGTATTATGAATGTATTTTTTTTATCTTCGGTATTTTGTCGTGGTAATCATATTGGTGATATCTCTAGCGTTTCCCCCATGATACATTTCTAACACGCGCGCGCACATATCAGAGGAATCGCTCACGGAAGCGAATCGAACATCCGGCTATTACTCCGTGCTCCAACGATTCCGTTACTTTTCCCCCCGCGCGGGCCTGTCTCACCGTACGCGAATGTGTAACTACTTTACGCTACGATGAATTTTCCAGAGCGACGAGCGCGACAGGCCGAATCGATTTTTCCGTACGTACACCGATATTTCGCGCACCGTCGGACGAAAATTTGCCCGCGAGATACCGGAAATCACGTGCGCCGGCCGAAAATGGGCGGAATTCGCCGTCAGCGAGAATTCCCTGCGCGAGAATGACTTCTCGTCTGCCTATCACGAAATCGAATAACTCGATATTCGCGTCC